TGTGTACACACACACACACACACACACACACACACACACACACACACACACACACACACCCTCCCCCGACGCTCGGGATCACGATTAGCCCCACTTGAGGGGAAAGTTCCTCTCACCTGCTCTGGGGTCGCCGAGGCTGTCTGAAGAGTGCAGCGACCCTGCCTAAGGAGCCAGGACCTGGCCCCAGGGGCAGTATCTTTCATCTTTTTTCTTTGCCTCTGTTTGTCCACCGAGAGTAGGTGACTGGAAAGCCCCTTTAACACTCTGAGGATAGAGCCCGACAACCTTCAGGTTTCTGACGGTCTCTTGTAGAGCCCACGAGCCTGTGCGTACGAGGGCACTAAGAGCCTGCTAGTGAGAAGCCACTGTACAGCTTGGCTCCCGCCCACCTGGAAGCCACAGGCCTGCCCCTTGGGAGGGGTCAGCTTTGGCCTCAGACTTTGGCCTCTTTCAAAAGCTTGGGTAACCCCAAAGATCTCCAGTCTGCCTCTAAACTTCCCTTCCCTTGTAGGCATTCTCTCCAGGGGTCGCCTAACCGGAATTCCCGAATTAACGCTTGAGATGACCCAAATTCATACTCCATGCTCGCACATTGCTTCATAAGCATTGTGGGAGGCCTTGGAATCCCAAATGGAGCCCAACTCCAGGACAGCCAGAGAAGAACCTAGTCTAGATGCGTGCCGGCGGAGGCAGAAACGCCTTACCTCTGGCGGCAGCGAAGGGGTTAGGTGCTACCGCACTCCCGCCTGACTCACCCTCCTAGCTCTAACCACCTTGGACTATTTTTTGCCAGAGAGGGGCCCCAGGCTTCCCAACCACCCCCAGCCCCTGCCAGACCGCAGCCCCAAGCACAGCAGGCTGGCCCTGTGCACCCAAGGCACATCAACTCAGAGACGACTCCCAGGAAACAGGAGCACAGGGCTGGTACCCACAGCCACAGCCACCTCTTCATTGGTGGTGACAAGCAGCAATGCTGGGCAGTCAGCCCCGGTCTGCATTCTTGCAAGTCTTGCCTTGTGCTGGAGGGACACCACTGGCTAGGTGTCTAAACAGTACAGGGCAGGTTAGGTCTGCAGGGCTACTCACTGAGTGCTGGGGAGGAGAGGGTGCTAGAGCCTGTATGCTAGACAGCTTGGAGCACCACAGTATGGCACTCTTTCCGATTCCACTGCCTCTGGAGTAGGGTAAGATGATCCAAGACCTCCTGGACCTCCTTCTCATTTAGGGGTAGAGGACCAAACCATGTATACCTTCTAAGGTGGTTTCTGTCCTGAATCCAGGATCATCACCACTGTCCCACCCTTCTTCCTGCCTGTCAGTCTGGGACTCACCCAGGCCTCTTGAAGGATATTTCCCAGGCCCTTTTCTCCATCAGCATCTCATGGACATGGCTGTGGTCCCATTCACACTTTGGATTTTATTTTGTCTTGTTCCTATTCGCCCCCTTTCTGGTGTTATCCTTGACTGGCTCCAGCATTTAGCCAGATGTAACAAAGGAGCTAAGGCAAACTGGGAAGTGGTGGCCACATCTTTAATCCCAGCACTTAGGAGACAGAGGCAAGTGGCTCTCTGTGCGTTCAAGGCCAGCTTGGGCTACATGGTGAGCTCCAGGGCAACCAGGACTATATAGAGAGACTCTATCTCAAATAAACAATAATGATAATAATGAAGGGGCCAAGGAAGATTAGCAGCCAAGGGTTCAACTCAGTGACCTAGGGGCTCCCCAAATTGGACTGTCCCAAGCCCAAGAGCTCACTCTGAGGTTCTCCCTTTCTGTTTGATAGAGTCTACAAGCAGGCAGTGGGTGGCCTGAGCTGGCCCACGGTGCCCTCCTGCCGACCGTCTGGCCTGAGCACTGACCCACAGGCAGCTAGAGGGCGGTGGGACAGGCGGGGCCTGGAGAGGGCTGTGGGTGCACACCCATTGCCTAATACCCCAAGCACGCAGCCAGCTCCAAGAAAGGGGAGGGGCAGGAACCAGAGAGACCTTGACAAGGGTTGGGACCAAGACAAGAGGGGGAAGGAAAGGGGGCTGCCATCACTGCAGGGCGGAGATGGGAGCAACCTGGTCCACCTTCCTTTTGATGAGAAAAGTTGAGGGCTGCTCTTCCCCTCATGAGGATGGAGAGTGTAGCAAAACCCTGTGGGAAGAAAATCCAAGCCCTGAAGGGTGGAGGAGTGTCAAATAAAAGAGTGGGGGCCTCTGGAGATGGGGGAATCAAGCAACTGAGGCGGTGCCTAAAGCCAGGCTACACTCGGGAATCTCCTCCTCCCCCTCCCCTGATGTTTGCCTTGGCTGGGGTCTTGGGTGACTCATCTGTTGCTAAGCCGCTGATAGGGGCAGCCAGCCCAGGGAACCCAAATTATAGGCCCGGGAGGGATGGATGCGCCCGTGGCGGTGAGCTGGCCTCCCTCCACCTCACCGGTCTTCCATTGCAGTACCGAAGGCCACCACCCAGAGGCGCCAGAGATGTTGCAGACAAACATCTCCTCCTGGCTGGACTACAAGGAAGCCCCCACAATCAACAGTTAGCCCCAACAAACCTTGTGGAGCCCCCTAGGGGATTTCACCTCCTTGTCTCCTAGAGGCCCATGGATGGGCTGCCCAGCCCCAGCCCAAAGGGCAGTGCCTCTGTCTGCCTGCGCTTCAAAGTCGTGCCCAAGAACTCTGAGCCCTGGTCCAGAGCTTTCCGTCTAGATCCCAAGGTCTAGGTAAAGCTCACTCCCCCCATCCACCCCCACCTCTCTCCTGTACCTATTCCACCCGGCCTGTTTTGCATTTCTACTTCAATCCTTTGAAGTCTGCTGTAGCCAAAAGTGAGAGAGAGAGAGATCCAGGTCACATGCACCTGTAATAAGAAGCTGAGTCAAGAAGATCAAGAATCCGAGGCCAGGGGGCTGAGACATGATCAGTGAGGACCGCTTGTTGCCCTTGCAGAAGCCCTAGTTCAATACCCAGAACCCACATAGTGGCTCACAGCCATTCATAATCCTAGTTCCACGGGATCCAACAGGCATGAGTGTGGTTGGTGCATGTACACGCATGCAGGCAAAACATTCATACTATAAAGAAAAATAAGAAGATCTAATAAATAAAAATTTATTTATTTAAAATGAGAGAGAATCCGAGGCCAGAGCTAGGAGTGGCAGCCCATGGGTCATGCCTTTAATTTGAACACGGGATAGGCAGAGGCAAATGGACCTCAGTGAGTTCGAGGCTACAAGGCTAGCCTGGTATACATGGTGAATTCCAGGCTAGCCAGGGATATATAGTGAAACCCTGCCTCAAAACAACAATAACAAAACTCTACGGTATCTAAGGAAGAACATTCCAAAAGACATAAAGTTACCTAGAACTTGAGAAAGGAACATGCTTGGTATGGTCAAAGGATCAGAAAGGTCAGTGTGGGGGACTGATTCACAAGGGGAAAATTGGCTGGGTAATAAATTGAAGAATCAGGAAGATCTAATGAAGCCTTGTAAACCACTGTAATGATTTTTAGCTTTTGAATGAGATAAGGAATCATTGGAAAGATTTGATCAGAGAAATTAATTTTTTGTTTGCTTTTTAAACTGTGTGTGTTTTGTAGGTGTGTCCTTGGAGGTCAGAGGTGCTGGAGTTACAAGGCAATTCTGAACTGCCTGAAGTGGGTGCAGGGAATTGAACTCAGGTCCTTTGCAAGAATGGTATATGCACTTAACCACTGAGCCATCTCTCCAGCCACAACTTCATTTTTAGAATGGATGGTCTTTACTGTTAAGAAGCATACTGTGGGATGGAAGGGAAAAGCATGGAGAGTCCTTAGGAAGAAGTGACAGTGGCTCCCACTACCACAGAACAGCAGGGGGATGAACAGGGATCAGCTTCTCTGTAAACTTCACAGATTGAGG